AGAGCATTGTTTCATAGTATGAAACAATATGGAGATGAAGTGACAGTATGGAGGAGGTGAATGTATTCAGATATTTGGGAGTGGACGTGTCAGCGGATGGGTCTATGAAAGATGAGGTGAATCATAGAATTGATGAGGGAAAAAGGGTGAGCGGTGTACTTAGGAGTCTGTGGAGACAAAGAACTTTGTCCTTGGAGGCAAAGAGGGGAATGTATGAGAGTATAGTTTTACCAACGCTCTTATATGGGTGTGAAGCACGGGTGATGAATGTTGCAGCGAGGAGAAGGCTGGAGGCAGTGGAGATGTCATGTCTGAGGGCAATGTGTGGTGTGAATATAATGCAGAGAATTCGTAGTTTGGAAGTTAGGAGGAGGTGCGGGATTGCCAAAACTGTTGTCCAGAGGGCTGAGGAAGGGTTGTTGAGGTGGTTCGGACATGTAGAGAGAATGGAGCGAAACAGAATGACTTCAAGAGTGTATCAGTCTGTAGTGGAAGGAAGGCCTAGGAAAGGTTGGAGGGAGGGGGTAAAGGAGGTTTTGTGTGCGAGGGGCTTAGACTTCCAGCGGGCATGCGTGAGCGTGTTTGATAGGAGTGAATGGAGACAAATGGTTTTTAATACTTGACGTACTGTTGGAGTGTGAGCAAAGTAACATTTATGAAGGGATTCAGGGAAACCGGCAGGCCCGGGCTTGAGTCCTGGAGATGGGGAAATACAGTTTCCTGCATCTTTAAGGAGGGGTGTTAATGTTGCAGTTTAAAAACTGTAGTGTAAAGCACCCTTCTGGCAAGACAGTGATGGAGTGAATAATGGTGAAAGTTTTCTTTTTCGGGCCACCCTGCCTTGGTGGGAATCGGCCAGTGTGTTAATAAAAATAATATATATATATATATATATATATATATATATATATATATATATATATAATATATATATATATTGTATTTGTATTTTTGTGAATGTTTTGTCAATGTATTTTGTCTTTAAATAAAATATACATTAAATATAGGGGGGTGGTAGGAGAAAAATTCTTAAACAGCTTCAGGGAGAACCTTGAGTTTTCCTGAAGCAAAATTTATTCTTTTCTCTGAGGATGAGGGGTCCCCAGGACAGTTCTATAGGTGGTACCTCCCTATATTATATATATATTATATTATATATATATATTATATATATATTATATATATTTATATATATATATATATATATATATTTTATATATAAACACTGATCTCTGGCTGAAGGAGACTCGAACCTACGAACCTTAGGACAACGTACGCAGTGCTTTACCAATCTACCCACACTGGACAATACCTTGGCGTGTAGCATGCGCTACACGTTTGATCCAAGGCAGCCAGCTTTCAGGGAGAAGGCTTACAGCTTTTCATCTCATCCCTGCATGCATCACCCTTACTAGAGATTTGAACAATGCACAGTGTCGAAATTTTTCAAATCTCTAGAAAGGGGCGATGAATGCAGGGGTTTGGTTTGAAAAGTTTGAAAGCCTCCCCCTAAAAAGCTAGCTGCCTTGGATCAAACGTGTGGGGCTTTGCTAAAACGCCAAGGTATTGTCCATTTGTGGGAGATTGGTAAAGAATGCGTACCTTGTCTTAAGGTTGTAGGTTCAGTTCCTTAAACCCTTTGATCATGTTTTGTTATTTATTTCGCCTGCTCTCCCCCGGAAATTTTTTCTTGAAATATGTGTTATATATTATAAATAAATATATTTTAAATATTATATTAGTATTTAAATATAATAAAATATATATATATATAGTCGTGCCGAAAAAATTGTAAAACTGGTCCAAAGCAAAAACCCTTTTTTTAAAATTAATCCTTTCAAAAATTTTTCTTGAACTTTAAAGAAAATTTTTTTTTCATTAATGTTAAGGGAAAAAAATTTTTTAATTTTGCTTCAAAAGAATTTTTAAAAATTCCCCTAACCTTATTATAACAAGAAAAATTTTAAAAATTTCCCTAACCAACTAAATTATTTTAGATTTGTTTAAAATAATTTAATACTAAAAAAAAAACAGGGGGGAAAAAAATTATTTTTTTTCGTTAGGGTTCAGAATGATTTTGGGGAAATTTATTGCATACCCCAAATTTTAAATTGTCCTATATGGAAAAATGAACTTTTGCTTTTTAACCCAAAAGATGGGCTTTTTTTTCTCCCATTGGGCACGACTTTATAAAAAGTTTATAATGTCCCAAAATAGGAAAAAAACTGGTCAGTTAGCAAGAGCTCTTTTAAAAATTTAAAGTCCAAAATTTTCTCTCATACATTTAATTTAATATTTCCCATTTATTAATAAAAAAAATAATGATTTTGTACCAAAAGAACCTTAGGAAACTTACCAAACCCTTTTATTAAAAACAAGGGGAATTTTAAATTTTAGCCAAAACCCCAATAAATTATTTTATTTAAGTTTACAAAAAATTTAATACACAAACACAATGAAATATATTTTTTTCTTTTGGGTTCAGGGGGGGTTTTTTTTTTTTCGGAATTATTGCATACAAAATTTTTGTTTCCCTTTTTTCCCGGCCCAAAAAGTGCTTTTGCTTTTTTAAAACCAAAATAGCAATTTTTACGTATGGGGGTTCCCCTCGGGTTTCGAACAGCCCCCCAAATTTGAACAACAAATTGTAAGTGTTTTTTGGGTAAGTGTTTTTTTGTAAGTGTTTTTGGGAGGGGGGGGGGTTAAACATTTAAAATTTTTCCACTCAGGTCAAAGGGATAATAAAAAAAAAACTATTTAATAAATGTTTTAAAGAAAAAAAAATAATTTCCAAATTTCCCTTAGGGGGTAAAGGAACCTTTAACCCCCTGAAAAAAAGAAAAAATAAACCCGGACAAAAAAAAATAATTACTGATGGAGTGGGTTTTTAAATTTTTCCCCTGGGGTGTGGGAGGGGGGGGGGAGCCAGTTGGGGAAAGTCAAGGGGGTTCATACCTTGACTGCGGTTGATTGCTTTTCCCGTGTGGGGTGTGTGTATGTAGGGATGGGATGTTGTTTAAATTTTGTATGTATTTATGTGTTTTGTGTGTGTGTTAAAGGGTGGATGTGTGTGTGTGTGGGGTGGTGTTGGGGTGTGTGTGTGTGTGTTTTGTTTTGTGGTGTTGGTGGTGTGGGGTTGTGTGGGGTTTTGTATGCGTGTGTGTGTCAGTGTTCTATATTCTGTGTCAGTCATTTGACAATATATCCCCCTAAATTTAAAAAAGTATTGACCCGGGTGACAAAAGGAATGAAAATCTCAAAACCCAAAAAAATAAGACAGAATTTAACCTAGTGCCAGCATATCGGGCCCGGGGTTCACATTTAACTGAATAACCTCTGCAAATAAATGTTTATTTGGTAAAAACCCAAAAAGTAACCTTAGGAATTTTTAACAAAGAATTATGGCCCAAAAAAACAAACCCAGGTCAAGCCCTCTTGGGTATGCAGCATCATCCAATTTAAGAAACCGGGGGGGGGAAAAATGAAAAAGGGATCAAACGAGGCTAGTTCCCCTACTACGGGATATGAAAATATGAAGAGTGTTCCCAATGGAATTATAAAGACAAGAACAAAAAAATAAAGATAACTTCAAAATACTCAGAAAAAAATTAAAAAGGAGTAAAACAGACGGGAGAAAAAGGTACAGGGGGCACAGCTGGAATTTAAAAAGGGTTCTAGTTGGTAAACATTTTTTATTTAATTTTTGGCCCTTTTGGCGCTTTTGGGGAAAAGGAATGACCTTGGAAAGAAATTATTGGAGGCAAACGGAAGTTGGCCCAATTTTGAAGGGTGGGCAAGGGAAAATGAGATTCGACCCCTGCAACGACAACAGAAAAAATAAAACACCTGTACACCCCTCACTGAAAAAATTATATACAACGAGAGGTTGACTGGGATATACCCGGGAGGTGGGTACCTCATAAACCCCCGGGGTAAAGGGTTTTATATTCCCCGGAGTGTATCTTAGTTATACAGAGGTGCGTTTTCTCCAGTATTAAAATATATATACCGAGAGGGAGATCTCAGTATATTGGTGAGATGCGTAAAACAGATATATTTCGTCGAGAGGGGGATTGAAGGTTTTTTTGAATGGTGGGGGTTTCAGTTGACTTTAGCCTTGATGGGCCCCCCTGTAGGTGATATGCTTTAAAAAAAAAAACACTGGGCCCGGGTAGTCCTTCAAAGGGAATTTTTTTTACCTGTTTTAACCCCCTCTTCCCGCCAACAAGGGCCCCCTTTCGCTTTAATGATCCAAAACGGGTTTTGCGCTTTTCTAAAAAAAAAAATATATTCCTATGGAGCAAAACCCCAGGAAATTTTCAGAGCCTGGGGGGATGGGGGAAATAAATTATCCCTTTATTCAAGGGAAAAGGGGGGTTTCCTTTTTAAACCCGGAAACGAGGGTTTCTTCACCACTTTAAAGGGGCCCCTTGAAGGGGTTTACAGAAAAATTGTCCCAGGTTATTGGGCCCCGGGAAACCGGGGGGGGCCAAACGTTTAAAAGTTGTTGAAACCGCAACCCGCTTTGGGCCCTTTTGGGGTACTTTTTTTTTATTTTTCATTATGNGTTGTGGTTAAATGTACTTTTAAAGTTCATGCAATCTAGCCTATAAACTGGTCGCTGTCCCAGCCAAGGAAATCAGACACACATATATACACAAATAAATAATATATACTGATTTCCAAGACATACACTGAGATGTATGTCTCAAGGTATATACGGTATTAGTTTACTTTATTCTCCATTTTAAGAAGTAATATATTCTTGACTATAGGTGAGCAAGCGACATGAACCTTTATGATCGTTTGAGTAGTCGTAGGCTTTAGGTACAGTTAATCAAACAATTTCATAGATCAGTTGAGAAAATTTACATGTGAACGTGATCATGTACCTCTGTAAATAAATGTCCTGTGTTCTTCAGTCTTGTTATCGCTACTTGTGGGCTGTTTTTACAATTTTACATTCGCAAATAATGCCGACTTGTTTTTTTTGGTTGCAGCTCCGTCTTGCTGTGGGTATACTGAGAGCAGCGTAGGGTGCCGCTATCAGGGGCATCGCTGCAGGTGCCCATTCCTCGTGCCCAGACCCATACCCATCAGCAACTTCAGCGGCATTCTTGCCCTCACACGCAGACGTCCCTCCACCCGACAAGATGACCAGGACGAATGCTGAGCTCCAGTGGACACTGCTGTGTATCTCTTGTAAATTATTATATTCATGGGGAAGTGCTAAACCATTAGAGGTTATACAGTGCCATTGTTTTTGTAAAAAAAATATTTAAAGCCTATCAAGTGTATGAGGGTCATTAAAGTTAACTCACTGTACGTATATACACTGAGATACATACCTCCTGTAAAAAAAATATTTGTATTATTTATATTTTTGTTACGATACTGCTACTAATAATTTTATTAATATTATGAATTATTTTCAAATGATATGAATATTGTACTCTCATAATCACTGATATTAAAAAGCTGAACATGTGGCAGATTATTTTATTTTACCTGTTTAAAATGTGCATCATAATTGGGGTAAATCTGAATTCTCTAAAATTCTATAACTTAAAATATTGTCAAATATTTTCGTTGTCTTTTCCAACTTGTGCTGCCTTATTACATACTTCCTCACCACATTATTATTTTGTTTATGGGGGTGCTAAACCCACAGAGTTTATAAAGCGTCTGGGACAAATGGAAGGCAATCTGGTTCGATGCAAGGAAATGATAGGTTCAGTTCCTTCATACCTGGAGAGGGTTTCGGGGATCAACGCCCCCGCGGCCCGGTCTGAGACCAGGCCTCGTGGTAGATCATGGTCTGATCAACCAGGCTGTTACTGCTGGCTGTACGTGAACCGACATAAGAACCACAGCCCGGCTGATCAGGTACTGAATTTAGATGCCTGTCCAGTGCCTTCTTGACAGCCAGGGGTCTATTGGTAATCCCCTCTCATGTATGCCGGGAGGCAGTTGAACACTCTTGGGCCCCTGATGCAAGAACCCTCTCACCGACATGAAGGAGCATCCAACTAAGTATATTTATAAACATAAGGAAGGATAACACAGGCCCCACTATAACCACAAATGCACATTTTTACGAACGATTTTCACACAATGACTGTGGTAAGATCTGAATCAAGGCCCTTCTAAGCTGTTATCAAAGATACCCATAGCAAGTGAAATGTACAACTCCAGGCCAGTGCGTAAGCCACTCGGCCAGATGGCTACAATAAGATTGGAATGGTGTTATTACGATTTCGTGTTATCAAAGATTTGTGAAATAGCGATAACACGATTATAAACAATTCACGAAACGGACAGGATTCGAACTCATGACAAGCCAGTCATAAAATTAGCAGATTAGTGCTCTAGGCACTAGAAACATCAATTATTATTTTAAAAATTTAACAGAACCTTGGACAACGAATTTTCTTCGTGCTCATAAACACTTTCATTTTCAATGACAATTCCATATTTCCCCTCAGCCTGCAAAATTATCAGTAAGAACCAATAATGTTCAATCATTCAACGCATATTTATGAAGAGAATGCAGTGACGAGTAGGCTCACAGGTTTGAAATTGGGATCGCATTTGAACAAGATTTGACTGGTCGTAAATGCTATTTACCATCAAGGATTCAACAAAAACTGTCAAACAGGAAAACTGGTTCCCATGGCCTACCAGTCCACAAACCATGATAATAAATCTGAAACTCGGTCGACTCACTGATTTTTGTAAAGAAAAATCTTGAACAGAGGATCACAGAATATTTCGGGGATGATGCCTGTAAAATACTTCGGGGATAACATCGTTATAAATAACTAACAGGAAGGTCAATATGGCAACCTTCACGAGCACAAAAATAACTATCCTGAAGTTCTTTTTACGAAGCACCTAACCTGGCAAAAACTGATGATCATGAAAACAGCTACAGCTCTCATCAAGAATATCAAGTACATGGATACTTTAAAGTACACTAAGTTTGACAATATTTCCTCTTTCAAAGAGAACATGATGCTCTTACCAGACTTCGCAGTTCCCTTTAAGAACATTATTCACTGAAGAAATGAGACGCAGATTAAATCAGTGGATCAGGCCATTGTTCAAGTATCACAATCGTAACTAAGCGCTAAACCCACAAGGGCCGGCCATTCTTCAAGCTACTAGAACCAAAGTTCCCATTGCTTCACTTCAGATAGAACTGGCCTTTAAGATGCATCACGTTGAATCAAAGCTCATGACAGATTCACTTCCTCTTACTCAGAAGTGACGAGGTTTGAATTCAGTGCAGAAAGATCATAAGGTGATACTACTAATTACAACGTACAGTTCGTGGCAGATGACGATGATCACAACATAAGCACTCTGAATGAATGCCACATTTCATGGAATAGGAATATTAGGCACATTGATGCCTGGAACTAAATGTCAAACCGACTCTTAGAGACGACAAACATTCAATTTTATAGATAAATTATTCTCTGAGCCCTTTATCTATATTAAGAGATCATCTAGTAATGACCATTCACTGATCTACCAATTAGTGCCTAATCTCCGATATGATGATGTAATACCGAAACCAGATTTCTGTAAAATTTCATGACCACTGTGAGTTAAGGAAATTATCTCCGTCAATTATCCATTACATATCCGCCAAAGATAGACATGAATGCTAATGACTAATAAGTTATCCTGGGCTACCAAACCCTCCCAGTTAATAATACGAATATAATCTTTAAAACTGAATAAAGCTTATTTAGGCTTCTCACCACTCCAAAGACAAAGTTAACTTATTTCTGTAAAGTATAGTACAGAATACAATTAACACTTGAATTAATGACATTAAAAAACTATAGAAAGCCCCATATTATTCAGAGTATTTCGGGCAGCCTTAAAGTTAACTTATAACTACCTGACCATTATTCAGTTAGTTTACTTTATTAGAATACGTACTATAGTTTGCATTCTTTGACATTTTATGTACTGTAGCAAACTGGTATATGATTTATGATAATTTGATATTTTATGTAACAATTTGGCATAACGTTTGTATTGATGAATACTGAGGTAGAATGTATTTTAGGTAAACTTATTATATGTTGAAATAGATTGATGATAGTGAGAGCATCAATATGAATGCTAATAAGATTTGAATCAGGATTGCAACTGATAAATCGGGCATTAACATTAATCCAAGCAGGGTTTGGGTTAGATTTATTAGGTACTCTAACAATGTATCTTTAAGTAAATAGCGGCGCTGGGAACTTCCTGCATATTCTGGGAGTTCCAGATTTTCGGACCCTTTATTTACATGGAGTTCCTATACAGAATGAATTGAATAAGTGGTATATTGAAGATATATATATTTTTTGTATTGTGTATGGTGCAGCTCTTCGGGAAAATATAAGATTTTTTTAGGATAACCGAAAAAAGGGGTCAGTGATCATCGAGGGGGGTTATTTCCTTTTTTTGTCCCCCAGGATGCGAACTACACCAAGCCCGATTTAAAACACCCAGGTACTTACTGCTAGGTGAAAAAGGGGACAGCAGGGTTTAAAGGGAAAAAACATGCCCAATTTTTTCCACCCGGGCGGGGGGTTTAAAAAACCCAGGGAAAAATGCAGTTTTGGAAGAAACAAGCTTTTGCCTACTAGGCCACGAAAACCCCCCAAACCCACCGATAAGTCTTGTCCTAAAGGGTTTCGGGGGAATTCAATCTTATTTTTTTTCGGGTTAGCCCAGGTAATTTCATGTTATTAGTAGGGTTTTAATAATCGTCTAAAACAGCAAAACGTACCTAAATAAATTTATTAACATTTGGCCTGGTGGGGCAACGCTTTTGCTCCACACTGCGTCCCCGGGTGGGTTTCCCCAGCAGGGGCGTGTTTCCCTTACACCTGCTGTCCCCATTTCCAAAGCAAGCAAGCAGATACCTGGGTTTTAAAGCACGGGTGTGGGTGGCTCCTGGGGGAAAAGAAAAAACAAACCCCAAGGGAAATTTGGGAAGTCCTCGATGACGCCCTGATTTTAAAAATGGGTTTATTCCGGGGTTTTGGGGTTTTTTAACCCTGGGGGTTTAAAAATCCGAAAAAAAACTTATTTTAAATCTCTTTTTTAAAACCCCCAAAAAATTTTTGGGTCCACTTAAACTTTGATTATTTTACAAAAAAAAAAAAAAAACGTTTACATGTATTTTTACCCACCAAAAAAAAAAGCCCCAAACCCTTTAGGGTCCATAAAAAGCATACACGTCCCCCCTTAGAAAAAATTTTTACAAAAATGAAATTTTTTTATGTTTCCATAACATGTTTTCCCTAAAGGCCATTTTTAAAAAATTTTGTATGCTATGTACTTAAAGCCTAAAAAAAAAGTTTCCCCCCACCTGGGGAAAAAGCCAAAGGATTACTTAGTTTTCTCACCCCTTGGGAAATTTAAAATACAAAAACGTAAAATCAAGAAGGCTAGGGGCACGAAATAATTTTTTTTTCACCATCGTTCATATATTAAGCATAATTTTTTTTTTCGGAAATTTCTCCCTCCAAAAAAGAATAAATAATAAAGACCCCTTTAGTGAGACTAACCCATTCTCTATTTAAACCAATTTCCGTTTTGGTCCCCAAGTCCTCTCCTCATCGCATAAAAAGGCGAGGGGGCCCGGATAACATCTCATGGGTCCTGAAAAGGGGACAGAGGCCTATGTGAAAACCATTAAACAAAAAACTTTAAACAAAATCTATCAAAACAGGACGTTTCCCTTGATGTAGGGAAAGGGGACAGCAAAGGGTAGCCCCATTTTTTAAAAAAAAGGAGACAAACACGAAGCATTAAACTACAGACCAGGGGAAATTGACATGTATAGTAAGAAAAATTCCTGGAGAAGATTATCAGAAAAGGGGTTGGGAAAGCCCTAGAAAGGAATGAGCTGATCAACGACAGCTAGCAGGGAATTTCAGGGAGGGAAAATCCTTTTGTCACAAACCTACAAAGGGGTTTTTACAACGGGTGACAGAAAGAAAGGGTGAGAGAGAAGAGAGGAGAGAGGGAAGAGAGAGGGGGAGAGGGAGGAGAGAGAGAAGGGGAAGAGAGAGAGGGGGGTTTAAGACTGGGGTTTTCCTGGACTTTAAAAAGGGGGGTTTGGGCCCATTTCCACACAAGGATTAGTGAAAAAGCGGGGAAACCAGACGGGGTTAACGGGGAAAAGGGGGCCCCCGAAATTAAAATTAGGGAATCCCTTCAGGAAAACAACAACGATATGGTACGTGGCAAAAGTGTCAGAGGGGACGCCCTGTGACGAGCGGGGGGGTTCCAAAAAAAGGGCCAGTCCGGCCCGGGTTTGCTGTTTTGGTATTTTGTGAACATAAAGGAAGGAATAACTCAGAAGTGTCCCTGTTTGCAGATATGAAGGTTGGGTTAGGAAAATTAAAATGGGACGAGGACGGCAGAATTTCCAAAGGTATCCTAAACAGGCTGAAGGCCGG